TTTACACCTTTTTTTTACCCCAGAAACGATGTGTTTAAAAGTTTTAAGCATAAAGTACATCTAGAAAAACAATTGATAATAATAAACTTGATAAAAGTAAATAAAAGTAAAAATAAATAGCTTTAGAACTGTTGTCTACATTTGTGAAACATTTAAAAATACAATAATGAAAACATAAATATTATTATCGTTCTAAAAATTGCCCCCAATCACTTTCAAAGTTCAAAGGCCCCTTCTGGAGGCGCATTGAACAATTGATAATAATAAACTTGATAATAAAAGTAAAAACAACTTTAGAACTGTTGTCTCTACATTTGTGAAACATTTAAAAATACAATAATGAAAACATAAATATTATTATCGTTCTAAAAAATTGCCCCCAACTTTCACTTTCACTTTCAAAAGTCAAATATTGATTCAGAAATGAAAATCTCTCAAAATAAAGACCTAAAAATAACTTAAAAACGAATAAAAAGCTTTATAGATATGCTTTATTCAGTTGAATCGCGACAAAAAAAATCAGAATAATTACCCGGGACCCCACTCAAAACACGCCCAAAAGATAAATAGATACCTCAAGAAAGAATCACAGAGAAGTCAAATCAATTGCCGAAATTGCGGGCTTTAAATCTAGCCAAGGTGGGAATATCACGAACATGAGGGGGTAAAATGTTCCAGAATTTAATAACTCGATTAAAAAAGGAAACTGTGGGGCTTTTAGAGGAAACGGAAGGCTGGCGTATGAGAAAAGGCCTCCTTCTAGAGGTGCATTGAACAATTGATAATAATAAACTTGATAATAAAAGTAAAAACAACTTTAGAACTGTTGTCTACATTTGTGAAACATTTTAAAATACAATAATGAAAACGTAAATATTATTATCTTCTCTAAAAAATAGCCCCCAATCACTTTCAAAAGTCAAATATTGATTCAGAAATGAAAATTCAGAAAAACCTCTCAAAATAAAGATCTAAAAATAACTTAAAAAAGATTTATCAAAAAAAAAATGAATAAAAAGCTTTTATATTAAAAATTTAGATCAAGAAATTGAGGGAATCGATGGAAAAATGTGAAAATTTCCCTGGATTTCTCTCATTTTTTTTTTCAAATCCATTTCTCTCTTTGTGAAAACACTTTTTAAAGGAAAAAAAAAGTCCAGTAACACAAAGTGAGTCAATTTCTTTTTGCGCTTTCTTTGATGAACGGAAAATTGGTCTCTTTTCCCTTTTCTTCTCCTAATTCTCCTATGGAAAAGTGAAAAATTGAGATTTGGTAAACTTGAAACTTTTTTTGAGGATGTTTACAAGGGAATTAGATCCTGGATCGGGCTGATGAGTCATCAAAAGTGATTCCAAATTGATATAAACATTGATTTACTCTGACAGAACATTCTGAGAATTGCCACATTAACTTGATCAAAGAATTCATTTGTTATCTTGTTGTGAAAAAGTTTTCAAATTGTTTTCAAATAGAAACTTTACAACTAGATGAAATGGATAGCTCTTTTCAGCGCTATTTTTTTTTGTAAATGAAAATAACTAGCGATAACAAACTACTAATTGACAACAATGACATTGAAAAAAGTTGACTAAAACGAATCTAGAAATACCTGCAGTAAATACTGTAATAGTACCGCACCCCAATAATGACGGTGCGGAGTGTTGCGTAGTCTAGCTTTGAACGAGTTTTTCTCGACACTGGTTTAAGCTACAATGCGCGCTTAGGTATCAAAAAATAGCCCTCAATTTCAGCTATTTTTTGATACCAAAAACGCATTTTTTGAAAGTACGGGCGCTTTGAAAATGATGAAATACTAAAAAACTTTTGCGACTACGCGACTGTACGAGGGGGGTGGGGTACTATTACAGTATTTACGGTAGAAATTTGTAGGCAAAAGCCAAAAGCTTGTTCTTTCTCTGCACAACAACACGATAAACTCTTTCTTTGAACTAAAATTGCTACAATTATATATTTAAAGAAAAAAATGTTCGTTCTAAGACTTGGGTTAGGTACAGAATTTGAAATTCCTTAAAAGTTGAGTAAATAAAAAGAACTTTGTTGATAGATCAATACTCCTTTATTTCCTTTTCTTTACATCAATGAGCTTAACGAAAAGTCATTTCGTCAATAAAGCTCATAAAAAGTAAAAGTTCTTGAAATGAACTTGTCATTTCAAGAACTTTTACTTTTTATGTGCTTTATTGACGAAATGACTTTGGTTGAATATTATTAATTTATAGATTAGAAGACTAGAATCTTTTACTGATATCGATATTTGCATCTAATAGCGAGCAAGAGTTTGTTGTTGTATTGATCTCCAATCCTTTAAGATCTAGATAGGGTTGAAGTGATTAGGAATTTTCAAGTTGGAGTCATTTCCTTGTACATTTTGTTCTTTCTCTGCACAACAATCCGATAAACTCTTTCTTTGAACTCAAATTGCTACAATTATATATTAAAAGATAAAATGTTTGTTCTAAGATTTGAAAAAGGTTAGTTAGAGAAGATGAAATCGATTTACAAAGATATTTACAGGTCAATCTATGTGACAAAGGGAATTTGTTAGTGTTAATAGACAAGGGAAATTTGTTAGTATTAATAGACAAGGGAAATTTGTTAGTATTAATAGATTTCGAATAGATTTCGAATAGATTTTGAATAGATTTTGATTTTAATTTGGAGAAAAGAGAAACAGATTTTGAAACTCTTGAAGCCAAAAAAAATTCAAATATTTGAATAACAATAGTCAGATAAATCAAAGGAAACAAATGAAAAACGCAAAAAAAAAACTCTTTGAACAATTCGCTCAAACCGTATTGAGAAAATGAGAATCTGAAGAAAGATTCGGGTCAAAATATAATAAAATAAACATATTAACAATAGATAGATAAATGTTTTAAACAATAAACATCGGATTTGTATGGAAAACGGCTTCGATTTTTGGCTCATGGCTCAAGGAGGAATCGGATGAGCTCTTTTGTGCATCGCTTTGCTTTTCTAAAATCCATTAGCTTTACTGAGTGTTTAGTGAATAAGCTAACCAGTAAACTAACTAGTAAGCTAACTAGTAAGCTAACTAGTAAACTACCGTAAATACTGTAATAGTACCCCACCGCCCTCGTACAGTCGCGTAATCGCAAAAGTTTTTTAGTATTTTTTTTAAAAGCCGCATTCGCATTTTTTCAAGTTTTTTTCAAAGCGCTCGTACTTTCAAAAAATGCGTCTTTGGCATCAAAAAATAGCCCTGAATTTCAGCTATTTTTTGATACCTAAGCGCGCATTGTAGCATAAACCAGTGTCGAGAAAAACTCGTTCAAAGCTAGACTACGCAACACTCCGCACCGTCATTATGGGGGTGCGGTACTATTACAGTATTTACGGTAGTTATTTAAGCTGCAGACATTTAACTTTTCAGTTCTATTCAATTAAAACCGCAACAGAGCCTCAAAAAAAGAAAAGAAAATTTAAAAGATCTGTGGAAAAAGTTGGAATCAAAAGTCAAAAATGGAACCAAATCGTGACCTTTTTTTTAAGAATATCAAATGCTTACAGAAGTGGATTTCAACTAGTATTAATATTTATAATCATTTTATAATTTTTAACATCTACTTACAGTAATCGATATCAAAAAGTATCTAGTAGCTAAGAGTTTTTTTTTTTTGACAAACATTTATCGACTGGATTTTTCGAAACCTTTATTGTTGTTCTTTATGTTGAAATAAACTTACTCATTTGTCGACACCGTTGACAAACAATCATATCAAAGCAGAAAACAAATACGCATAAAAGAGCGATCACGATAAAGAGAAGACCCAAAATAACCATTTGAGATTCGTGAGAAGAAACGGATGTGATTGAGTCTAGAAACTTAATGTTTTATTGTTTTCAGTCTAGTTTTTTTTAAGCTTAATACTATTTCTAAAGCAATTCTACAGAGTCATTTATTCATCAAACTTCAGCAAAAATTCTTGTCTTTCTTTTCTTGAATACGCTTCTTTGGTTTGGTCTCCTTCCCTATTAAATCTTATTCAAAAAATAGAACGTATTCAGAGGCACTTCACCAGAATTGCTCTTTATAAAATTAATTTTGACAAATTCTCCTCCTTTACTTATTCTGATAGATTGCAACTCTTTGGTCTTAAAATGTTACACCAACACCGCCTTATCATCGATTTAGTGGAATGCTTTAAAATTGTTAAAGGCATTCATCCCGACCCCCTTTTTTCTGGTCTCTTTGAATTCGGCTCTCTACGGGGCGCCTCCGCCTTTTCTCATACGCCAGCCTTCCGTTTCCTCTAAAAGCCCCCACAGTTTCTTTTTTTAATCGAGTTATTAAATTCTGGAACATTTTACCCCCTCATGTTCGTGATATTCCCACCTTGGCTAGATTTAAAGCCGCAATTTCGGCAATTGATTTGACTTCTCTGTGATTCTTTCTTGAGGTATCTATTTATCTTTTGGGTGTGTTTTGAGTGGTGTCCCGGGTAATTATTGTGATTTTGTTTTGTCGCTATTCAACTGAATAAAGCATATATATATATATTCTCACCAAAAGTGACTCCGTCGGGGATTGTTCGGCTCATCACCGTTGATGCTGAAGAGGTTTCAGGAAACGTCGATGAGGTGAGAGGAGCAGAAAAGAACATTTCTGAACAAGTTTCATTTTAAAATTATTCAAAAATAACTCAGAAGTATTAGCTTTACTAAAAAAAAATAAATGATTTAAATGAAGAATGAAAATTTCTTGGAGAGAAAGATTTGATGGAAATTGAGAAGAGAAAAAAATGATGGATCTTTTTTGGGTCGACACGAAAACTCGTTTCTATCACATTTCTTTATCAAAAAAAAAGCCAATGTGAGATTTTTGACGGAAAATCTTCGTCTTTGGGGATTTTTATTCTCGAAAATGTTGTCATTTTGATTTCTTTCTTTGGTTGAAGGATGGCCTTTTGAAGGAAGGATGACCTTGTGAGAGATCTCCGAGAAAAGACAAAGCGTTTCGGATTTGTGTTACTTGAAAAAAAGTTTCATGTTATTCATAAAGAAAAAGTTGTTTTCAGTAATGAGATAAAGAATTTTAGGAATAAGATAAAGATAGAATGATGTCTGGATATTTTAATTGGGGCTATGGAAGGCAAGAGTAAGCTAGGTAGGCAAGAGTAAGCTAGGTAGGCAAACTAGGCAAGCTAGGCAAGCTAGGTAAGCTAGGTAAGCTAGGCAAACCCGGCAAGCTAGGCAAACCCGGCAAGCCAGGTAAGCCAGGCAAGCTAGGCAAACCCGGCAAAAGACTTGTAGCAACCCTGACTTGTCCAATTGATCTATCCCATAACTTTAGAACCTTAACAAGTCGCAATTTGGCTTAATTTTGAATCCTGCATTGTTCAGGCCTAACTCTTTATGACATCAGCTTTCTTTTCAAAGCTATAACTTGAATAATATTTATCGTTTTTAAATAATAATGTTTCAGATGATAAAGCGAAACGCAATAAATCAGAGAAAAGCAGAATATTGTTAAAATAGCAATTGTGAGAAGATGAATCGATGAACTTTCTCAATAGCTTAAAGCTGTTGAAGTTTATTGAAGTATTGAAAGTGAAAGTATTGAAAAATGAAAGTGAAAGTATTGAAAAATGAAAATTCTAATAGTTATGCGAGCAAAACGCATTGAAAAGCAATGAAAAGGGCAATCCACTAAAGCCAAAAAAATATTTTCAAGCATTCCAAAGTGAAAGCGAAAGATTGCGAAAGTTGTTTGTTTTTTTTTGTTATAAACGAAAGCTCATAAGTTTCTCTTTGAAATGAGGTATAGGAAGGAATTTTTGTGTTAAAACTGCTTTATAGAATGATCAAAATCAATTGGTTATCAAACTTTTGTCTAATTTTGTGTTAAACCTGTTTAAAAAATGATCAAAATCAATTGTTTATCAAAGTTTTGTGTAATTTTGTGTTAAAACTGCTTTATAGAATGATCAAAATCAATTGTTTAGCAAACTTTTGTATAATTTTGTGTTAAACCTGCTTTAAAAATGATCAAAATCAATTTTTTATCAAAGCTTTGTCTAATTTTGTGTTAAACCGGCTTTAAAAATGATCAAAATCAATTGTTTATCAAAGTTTTGTATAATTTTGTAAATTTTGAGCAAAGTTTTACTAGACAAAAATGTTTTTTATCAAATTTTTCCTTGCTTTTCAATTGTTTTGCAGATGTAAATACGTAAATGATAAGAGATTCGTGTGATTACAATAAAGAATTCAAGAAAGATTCAATAAAGATTCAATAAAGACAAAGCAATGATACTTTGATACAAAGAATTCACGTGAATAGCTGAATATTTATTAAGGTCTTTGAAAAAAAATGAGTAAAATTGTTTTTCTCATCACATGATTCCATGGATTTCCACTTGTTTATTTCACATTTTGCACAAATGTTCTCCCGAGATTTTCAGCTATAAATATCTCTTTCTTGTTTATGTGAAAAAAAAGGTGTGCTTTAGGGTAAAAAGGTTTTTTTTCCAGTAGCCCTATTTATCTTCTTACTGTTTCTAGACACTTTAAAACATCTAAAAATTGGTTTTAGTGCTTTAACCAAAAAGGAAAAAGATGGACGACACTGAGCGGATTCGAACCAGGGATAGGAGAAGCCGGCCGCGAGAGCACTAATCGCTACACCATCCAGTCGCTGCTCGGGACAAAGTAATTTGGCCTCATAGGGCGGTGTCGTTTATCCAAAAAGTGCTAATTTTTCTCGAAAACTGGATGCTATGGAGTAAAACTGAAAAACACGTATCCCTTAGAATTTTAAGATGGCGTTTAAAACGTCGACTTAAGCCTTAAAGTGTGACTCGTAATACCGTAACCCGAGACTCGATTAGACGACTCAAATTTATCGAGATTCAAGAACTTCTATATTTATTCTAATAGAATATGGTAGCCGCTTGAAAAGTGTCACTTCTACCGTAGTCCATAACTAAATTAATCGATTTTACAGTAACCCATATAGTTAATACCGTAGGCGTAAAGGCCACAGTATCATTAGCTAATAAGAGATAGGGAATTCTGTAAAACAATCAGCTCGGCTACGGTAGCCGGGACATAGAAGGCTGCTAACTAAAAGTATCCAGTGAAAAATTTAATTTAAAGTTTAAGAAATCAAGCCTAAACCTGACTACAAAATATTAAAGCAATAGAAACAAAAAATAGAGAATTTTACTTTTCTAAACACCAAACAAACATTTATCTCAACACTAGAATCTTCAAATTTCCCCCAAATTCCCCAAATGTCACATGATGATATCAATCGCTTTCCCAATTTTGTTTCAAAGGAAATTTTCAAGAAAGAAGATTTTTTTTTTCATCTTTTCGGCTACGTACTTGTTATTTAGTCTATTGGAACGGCGAAAAATTGCCTGTAAGACGTCATGGGACAAATAAAGACCAGAAAATTCGCGTTTTCAAGAAATGTTTGAGGTTTTGTCTAAGGGAATGACTAAAGATAACAAGGAACTCGACTCGAAATTGAAGTTCCGAATCACTTCAACCCTATCTAGAACTTAAAGGATCGGAGGTCACAAATCCGTAAATTTTTTTTTGCCAAAGACCCAAAGACAAAATCTATTTTTAGATCAAAAATTTAAAGAGAAAAATGTTTTGAAATGAGAGCAATCAATAAATTTACCTGAAAAAGTCTAAAAAAAGGGATGACTTGAAATTGAAGTTCCGAATCACCTCCGATCTCCGATCCTATAAGAAATAGATAGGGTTGAAGTGATTCGGAAATTCAATTTCAAATCATTCCTTTTTTAGACTTTTTCAGGTAAATTTATTGTTTGCTCTCATTTCAAAACATTTTTCTCTTTAAATTTTTGATCTAAAAATAGATTTTGCTTTTAAACAAGCGAATTGATTGATTGAGCCAATTTTGCTTAAGTTTAAGGGATTTTATCAAGAAAGATCTTTATATTCAAGAAAGGAATTTTTTTTTATATGAATTTTGGCGACTTTAGCAATAAAATGAAGTTGTTTATCTGTTTTTTTTTGTTGTTGCTTTTCTGAGTACGAAAGATCTTTCAAATAGCAGCTGTTCGATTTATAAAAATAGGTTTCTTTTCTCTTTAAAGTTTTCAAAAACAAGAGAAAACATTTTAAAACATTTAGCGAACTCGACGCTTTATTGGCTATCATGACTTTTGCTTTTCGTTGAATTTGCTTGCAATCAGCTTTCGCTGCATTCCTCACAACTGGACATGGCTAAGTTCAGTTGATCCAAAAGCCGAAATCGAGTTTCCCGCTTATCGATCAGATGCGATTCGGTTGAAAAATTTGAGATTTCGAATTGAGGCCAAAAGCGACCCGATTCAAGCACACTTTCTCTGCTTCAAAAACTCACATAATCCCCGGCGGAAGCTGCTTGAACGAGGAATTGAATGATTGTGCTCACAATTGAATGATTGTGCTCACAATTGAATGATTGTGCTCACAATTGAATGATTGTGCTCACAATTGAGTGATTGTGCTCACAATTGAGTGATTGTGCTCACAATTGAGTGATTGTGCTCACAATTGAGTGATTGTGCTCACAATTGAGTGATTGTGCTCACAATTGAGTGATTGTGCTCACAATTGAGTGATTGTGCTCACATGAAAGGCCATTTCACGTCGATTCACTTTTTTACTCATCGTTACTCATGTATTGGTGTTTATATAGACCAATACATGTATAGATATTATTTTAAAACATTTTAAAACACTTTAAAACACTTTAAAACACTTTAAAACATTTTCTTTAAAATATTTTATTGACAAAATTAAGATCAAAATCAAATTAAGATTTCTTCGTACATCCGTGAGTGGAAAAAGCCAAATGAGATCATTGGAGAAAGGGATTTTCGTATAGAGTTCAATAAAATTTCAATAAACTATGCGAATTTGATATGTTTTATTAAAATTGTGCACAATGAAGATCGTAAGCGATACACGGCGTTGGGCATTTCTTCTCCAAAACATTTCTCGATATCCACGCTTTACTGTGCTCGTACTCGACGAGGCCACCAGCCTGAAAAGCAAAAATTGAATGGGGAAATCAAATTGAAATTGAAACTTGATTTCCGGAGTACTTTCAGTACTTTCAATGATTGATTTATTGTATTTATTCTATTAAGAATTGTAATTTCAATTTAATTTTTCATTCTATTCTATGCGCTTCGATTTTTCAACCCTTCATCACCACCAAAATTGCTTTAATTCCCAATGAACTAAACTAAAAGGCCGATTTTTTTGATGCATAGTTTACATGAGGCAAACTTTAGCATTAATTGTTGAGAAATTTACTACAGTTCACTCATTTACTAGTAAATATCAATTTCAATAACTAAACGAAATTTAAGAGAGAAATTTTTCCGTTTTCCTTTGAATAGAAGTTGAAAAAGTGTGTTTTATAAAAAAGTGATAGTAGAAAGCGAGTATAAGAAATTAAATGCAAAGTTTATAACTGTAGAGAGTACTTAGAAAGAAAGATTTTTCCAGATCAAGCAAGGGTAGGCCAAAGTCAAAGTCATTACCGCGAGTCTGATCTACAAAAAGTCACTGAGCCAGGCCTGGATTTGGCTTGCCTTGTTTTGCCTAGATTGGTTAGACAAGAAAAAAGCCAAACCCTAGAGTCCAACTATTTACAACTATTTAGTTTACAAGTCCTAGGGGAGTTTGCTTGGAGCTTGACCTAGATAGTTACCTTGAAGTATTGACCAATGAGGAAAAGTGGCAATAAGTTTATTGTTAGAAATCAAATAATGTAATATTATATTTATTCTAATAGAAGAGCAGCCTCTAATCTAACTTATGATAAGCAAAGTTTGTTTGTCTATCCGTTCACCATATAACTCGAGTTCCAGTAGGAATTCCGGGCTGATTTTTGTTGGGACAATTTATAATCGACTACGGCGGTTTGACCTATCAAATCAGATTTTTAAAAAATGCAATTAGTTTTTGAGCAAAGTCGGAAAAAAAAAGAATTTGACGACGAATTTTGAATTTTTGTAATTTAATGAAAGCTGTGAAAGCGGAAAAGTTCAAAGGAATTTCGGGTTTAGCTAGGGTTTGGCTTTTTTTTCTTGTCTAACCAATCTAGACAAAACAAGGCAAGCCAAATCCAGGCCTGGCTCAGTGACTTTTTGTAGATCAGACTTGCGGTAATGACTTTGACTTTGGCCTACCCTTGCTTGATTTGGAAAAATCTTTTTTTCTAAGTACTCTCTACAGTTATAAACTTTGCATTTAATTTCTTATACTCGCTTTCTACTATCACTTTTTTATAAAACACACTTTTTCAACTTCTATAAACTATAAAATATCAAAACACATTCAATTTCCTTTTTTTTCTCACGATCAAGTCGTTCCCAAAAGAAAGCTTTATGCAATAGAGTTGTATCTTCATTGTTCGAGGAGAACAAAGAATGCTGGATTGTTTGAATCGAATTCAAGTTGAGGAAAAAGTTGAAGTTGTTAAAATTATCAAACAAAAATATCAAATAGCATTTTTATCTTCTATCACTCACCAAAAGTTTATTTTTCAACTCGAGTAAATGTAAAACTCGAAGCATTCGTTCTCTTGACGTCAAATCAGAATAAACGTCTTCCACGTAGAAAGTTTAAAGTTTTAGCTTTTTTTGGATTTTTTACAAAAAGGAAAGAGTGAAGCGGTGACCGAGAGGAGAATGTGCTTAAGTTTAATCTTTGCTTTTTTTCTCAACAACTTTTTCCTCAACTTGAATTCTATTCAAACAATCGAGCATTCTTTGTTCTCCTCGAACAATGAAGATACAACTCTACTGTATAAAGCTTTCTTTTGGGAACGACTTGAGAAATCGTGAGAAAAAAAAGGAAATTCAATGTGTTTTGATATTTTATAGTTTATAGAAGTTGAAAAAGTGTGTTTTATAAAAAAGTTTAATCTTTGCTGTTCAGTTTTTTTGGCAGAAAAAGTTGTTCGCGCATAGGAAAAATGAAATTGTTATCAAAATTTTAAAAAGCCCAAAAAAGTTTGCGCGTAGTTTTGGCGTATTCGCTTTTATCTTCTATCACTCACCAAAAGTTTATTTTTCAACTCGAGTAAGTGTAAAACTCGAAGCATTCGTTCTCTTGACGTCAAATCAGAATAAACGTCTTCCACGTAGAAAACGAGTAGCTAAAAAGGTTAAATGACTTTAAATTTAAAATCCTGCTTGAAAAATTCCTGAAAATCTCCTCCAAATCTCTACCTGTTCATACTTCTTCCTCGCCGCATAGATAACTTCTTTCCCTTCATCGCTTAATGTGAGATCTAAAAGATCTAAATGGTAAAAGCTATGTTCAGTTAGAATGTTGTTTTTATAACTACCGTAATACTTCTAATAGTAGCCCCCCTCATAATGACGGGGTATTGTCGCGTAGTCTAACTTTACACGCTCCGTTCTCCGCGCTGCTTTATGCTACAGTGTGCGCTTGGGTATCAAATGATAACCCTTGAAATCTAGTGTTTTTTTGGTACCAAAAGTGTAGTTGGAAAAAATCTAGGAGCTGAGAAAAAGGTGATTTTCTAAAAGGAAGTCAGACTAGTCAGACTTTACGGGGGGCGGGGCTACTATTAGAGGTATTACGGTATTTATCTAGCCATCAGCTTACTAACACATCCACTGTACATGATGATTTGTTTGAGGATGCAAAACTCTTGCCCCGTCAATTTCAATCGTTCCATTGCTGGGCGAATTGAGGTGCCCACTAGGTTGATCATTCCCTCAACATACGGATCCCTAGAAGTGTTATTTTTTGCTATAAAAAATGCTATAAAAGATTTGAATTCAAAGCTTATTCAAAGCTTATTCCAGGCTTATTCAAAGTTAGAAAGTACAAAAACTTCCAGACAACAGTCTACAGTAGCTATGCTTTTAGCTACATACAGCTATTGACAAACTGGCTATAGTCTAATCTCATAGTCAGTGTTACTGCACTTGTCTATTGTCTGAAACGTCTTTAGTTTTGGCAGGATTATTGTCTAGACTAACATACAATAATTTCAAATTGTTTTAAGCTTTATAAATGAATTCCTTGATCTATCAAATGTCAAATTTTCACTCACCAACAATCACCCGCTTGATAAACATATCCGTCGGGCATTAAATACCCATTCACTCCATATTTATACGTATTATAGGCGATTGTGCTGAAATGCATGATCGACATTCGTGGTGCAACGAAATTCAGCTAAAAAAAATATATTTATATATACCGTATTTTCCCTAATAGTAGTGCACCCGGTCGGGCCGAGTTGGTGACGATTTTACGGTTTCCAAGTTTTCCCAGAAGCTCAACACTCAAATCCCCCACTAGATCTCATCATCAGCTACATTTTCCGACCCCACATTGATAGGTTCTGATAAGCGCTTCTCGAGATTTCGAGCAATTTAGGCGATGCTCTGGGTTCACTACTATTAGAGAAAATACGGTATATTATTCCAGGTTAGGCTAGTAGAACAGACTGATCTATTTCCCTAATATTTCCCGGTGAGCCGAGTTGATGACGATTTTACAGTTTCCAAGTTTTCCCAGAAGCTCAACACTCAAATCCCCCACTAGATCTCATCGTCAGCTACATTTCCCCACACCGATAGGTTCTGATAAGCGCTTTTCGAGATTTTGAGCAATTTAGGCGAAGCTTTTGGTACACTACTATTAGAGAAAATACGGTATATACAGTGCCGCTCAAGCTCAAAGGTTACCTAAATGTTACCGAGTAATTGGCTAGTGTTTTGGCTGAGTTTTCACATATCGTAAATGCGTAATGGCTCAAACATGCGTAATGACCGCCCCCGTCAAACTTTCCAGGTTTTTCATATAAAACAAATGCACAGATGCATATGTTTAAAGACAAAATGGAGATTTTTCATAAACATGCATAAATATTTTGCTTTCAGCTCATTTTGAATGCTAGAAGATGAAATAAAAAAGAAAACGTCGCTCAAAAGGTCGCTCAAAAGTAAGGGTCGTCCCTAAGCTAAATATATATATTTATATATATATATAAATATTTAAAATCAAGAACTACTTTCTCTTTTCTCTTTCGGTTACCATATCTTTCTGTGAAAGTTGTTGAATTTCCGGTGATGCGGCCACCCAATCAATATAATAGACAACACTTCGGTGAAAGATTTTTGAATAATCGCTGATATCTTTTGGCGTTCGCGTTGTGCGATGAAAGGCCTAAATTTTACTGAGTAGGTTACCTAAATGTTACCGAGTAATTGGCTAGTGTTTTGGCTGAGTTTTGGCTGAGTTTTCACATATCGTAAATCTTCTATTAGAGCGCCGCGCCGCCCTATTCGGATTCCCAAAATAAAACACATAAGAGGGACACATAAGACAACATTGTTGAAAAAAATAGCTATATTTTTGCTTAAATCCTTCTAAATTGATTCCTTTTAGTCTAAAATATATGAAAAACACATTAAAAACAAAAAGTTATGTCAATAACTACTCCCTCGAAAATCCCTGTGGTTCCCCCTTGTGATTTATTTTCTCGAGAAATGTTTAGACAAAATTTTTTCTAGGATTGATTTGCATTTTACTGGCATAACTTTTAAAATTATAATTAGAACTCATATGCATCATTTTAAGCACTTTTTGAGACATTCGTTTTTGAAAAAAGTTGGATCTTTGAGCTGTCAAAATTAGCATTAGAAAATGCCGCTCTAATAGAAGATTTACTTGCTAATGATGCTAATGATTACTTGCTAATAAGAATTTCAAACGCACATCATCAAATGCAATTCTACCATGATGAAATCAAGAGACTCAGGTCTTGCAAAACCCAAGAAAGCATCAAATTCTTCATTCCTTTTGCAATCAGTATTGCAAAAGAAAGAAAAGTGCATTTCTATGTTTAAGCCAAAGTAAAACTCAACATCTCATCACTTAAATTGTAAATTAAAAGCTGATTGTAGTGAAAAAAACTATAGTAAAGCCAAAGAAAAGGGGTAAAAGCGGTCAACTTTCAAAAGAAACTACATGGCTGACTATGTGACATTGATTTCCGCTGATCTCTTCGAAGACTTCATGTCTACCCCAAATTACAGGATTAAGCGAGCGGTGGAAATTTTGGGGAGGATCGCTCGCCCCTTTTCCCCTTTTCTCTTTTCTCCTCACCAATCTCCACTCACCGGTCTTCTCGCCATGATGATTAGCGGATTTTCGAGTGCGTCTGGCAGGGTTACTGTACAACAAAGCCCATCCTCTTCCCTATAGTCACCAATTCCAAGATCGTAGTTGCAGAAGCTGAATGTAAAGTTAAGCGATTAGAAATGGAAAATGGGATATAGTAAATTCTTTTTGCTATAAAAAGTATTGAAGTGGAATGATCTCTTTGCTTGTAGCTTGATTTTGAAACAGGATTTAGCAAAACCTGTTTCAAAAGTTGGGGAGGATCGAGTCTGGAGTTGTCTGGATCTTTTTGTACTCAACTTTAAGCCCATAAAGTTAAGATTATTCAGATGGCGGCGAGATTTTGAAACTAAACACTTAGCAGAATTTATTAGATATTTGATGATAAGAGTTCTGCTTCTAGATAGCTTAAAAGGTGTTGTTTAGTATCTTTTCTTTGGGTACAGTATGCCTAAATCGGCTGACAAAAGTAAATCTCTTGTTGCCCGAATGCTTTTTTCACTACAACTGTTTACTGTAGTATATGCAGCATTCATTTGTATTCAGTTTTGTTTTTTGATTTCAGTGCATTAGTGTGACTTAAGACTAGGATTTAGCAGATCTACTAGATATAAAAGAGCAATGTCTGTTTGTATGTTTGTCTGTCTGTTTGCCTGCCTGCCTGTTTGTTTGTTTGTCTGTCTGTATGTATGTATGTATGTATGTCTGTCTGTCTGTCTGTTTGTTTGTCTGTTTGTACGGACATTTTCTCGACCGTATTTCCACTAATAAAGCTAAGACCTCTTTAGAAAACCTTGGAATATATTGTAGTTGTGCCATTTAGAAAAAATTTGGGAAAAATGAAAGCTGGGTGAAAGAACCGGGAATTGAACCCGCGTCGTGTGGACCGTAGACCAGCGCGTTCTTGACTGCGCCACGGTCACAAAAGGACTAGACAAAAAGCCTGCTATTAACCGGGTTTTCCGGCTTTTTTTCTGGCTTTTTTATTAGCTAATATCCGTTAATCACGAAATTCTCACGTTTCCAGCGCCATCAACTTCTCGGCGACCCTCAGCGGTTCGTTGGGCGTCTCTTTAAGCGCCTCGGTGAATGAGATTCCGATCGGTGAACCGCCTCGACCCAACGCTGACTAGAAGATTGTTTTCAAATTCGATGACGAAACTTTAACGCTATTTACCGGTCTGAAGATGTGGTAATTTTTCTCAAAATACGGCACCACCGAGGGGAACTGTGAGTGGCTTTCATTTGGCATGGAGAGGGGAGAGGCTTTTTGCTCTGAAATGTGACTTAACTGGGGAAAATTGGCAGCTAATTGGCAAAATCTAAAGCTAACTGATTGGCTGTCGAGCTATCTTAGTTATGGTCGTTTTTTCTTTGATCAACCTACCGAAATGCTTGAGCCCAGCCGAGGTGGATGGTGCAGCGAAATGCTCGGGCGATGAGGGATCGTCATAGCGTCGATTTGAGCGAATTCCAACCACTGAAAACAGTTTGTTTTTGTTTTGCTTTTGTTCTGTCTCTAGTTTTGTGTATTCTAATCGTGCTCACAGTCCGATCTCATTCCCATTTGAATGCATTTCCCGAAACGACACGCTCGACACTTGATGATTTCTGAAAAATTGAAAAATTGACAATGGTTAAGTTTGTTTTAACTCTAGTTAAGTGGATTTTTTTCTTATAAGCTGTTTACCGTAACCCGCCAAGGGCTAGTTCATGGTTAATCATCATATCGGAAAAGCTTATGAGACAAATGATATTATGTTTATAGCGAGTAAAAACTCGCAGAGTTTGGCGAGCAAACATAATGGATTTTTTTGTGTGCTTTATGTTAACATCAAAATTTAGCTCATTGTTCAACTTTTTAAATTGAACTTTAATCTAGCTTTGAACCTGGTTCTTAGAATTCTTTACTAGATCTAAATATGACTCAATTTAATCATTAAAATTTAAAAGTAAACAAGTTGATAGCTTTTTAGAGATTTCATCAATTAAAAGTTAAAATTCACCAATCTTTAAGTACAAAAATCAACACACTATTTACAGAAGGCCAAAGAACAAAAGCTGTGAAAATGGAAACCTGCCGGTGTGCTGCAAATGCCGCCAACATGACAAACGAAACCCATTCCTGAGACAACCGTTCTCATGAAGAATACTTTACAACCACTAAAAATTGATTGATTGAAAATTGATTTACGTAAAGATTTTGTGACTTTTCAAACTTTACTCTAAAGAAAAAAAAGCGTTAAAAGCTTTCGTGAAGGTAACTTTATTCTTCAAATAAAAATTCAATTCAAACAAAGCTCACCTGCAAACAAAAGCCCCATAGTAGACACCGGTGTGTTTCGTCGATCGACACACTCGACATTCGTTCATCTGAAAATGATAGAATTGAGCATAGTTAAGGGATAAAATTAAAACAAATCAATAATCAATCATTGGAGAATATAAAAGATAATCAATCATTGGCTAATATAGAAGACAATCAATCATCAATCATTAGCTGAACAAAAGCAGAAAAAAAATGTAAGTAAAAGACGATATATGAGATTTATCAAAGCTTAATGGAAGAGTCATTCTAGTTAAGGGATTTCTAAAAACAGAATACGATTGATTACAACAGAAAGAGGCATAAGAAAAGCTATTTAACCCAGATTTATCGACATTGTAAGAGTACTGAAAGAAAAGAAATTCAATGTGAATCTTCTAAAGGATCTAAGTAAGATCATTATGAGCATTAAGAGCATTAAGATCAAGTGATCGATGATTTAATCGAATTGAGTCAATGAATCGAATTGAATCAATGAATCGAATTGAATCAATCAATGAATCGAATTGAATCAATCAATGAATCGAATTGAATCAATCAATGAATCGAATTGAATCAATCAATGAATCGAATTGAATCAATCAATGAATCGAATTGAATCAATCAATGAATCGAATTGAATCAATCAATGAATCGAATTGAATCAATCAATCAATCGAATTGAATCAATCAATCAATCGAATTGAATCAATGAATCAATCGAATTGAATCAATCAATCAATCGAATTGAACCAATCAATCAATCGAATTGAATCAATCAATGAATCGAATTGAATCAATCGACCTCTTGCTCACTCAATCATGCTTTAAAGTCATCAAGCCTTTAAAGTCATCAAAACTTAATTTGATATTAAAACTGAATCGCAAAATAAACTCGTTTAAACTAGTTGAAATTCGTTTAAAACAAAGATAGAAAGATATTCTTCACTTATGAAATGTGAATCAATTCGAAGAAAAGAAAAAAAAAGAAAGAAAAAAGAAATCTGAGGGAATCTGGGGATCTTTAAGGATTTTCCCAGCTTTTATACTAAACAGGGCACCGGTACAGTACCCCTTTTTAAAGTGAAAAGCAATTTAGGATCAACAAGTGAATCTCTTTTTGTTAGACTAAAATGCTGAACTTATTTTGTCATCTTTAATGGGAAATATGGTAGAATTGAAGGAAAAGTAAAAAAAGAAATAAATTCAGCATCAATTTGGCTAATATTTTAGAGATTCGAAACAGGATTTGATGATGAGGAAAGGGGATTGTGTAGGGGAGTCGTTGAGAAAGAAAACTTTAAAAATGAAAAGCTGAATTGATTAAAGAAGAGATTTAGACAAAGTAAAGTACTTTACAGAGTACGGTAGATCTTCCCGAGAGAAAGTAGGGTAATTGTTTAGAGGTAAAGCCTAGTTAACTCTCTCTAAAGTAAGGCCAACAAGTGTTTGTGGTGGAATGATAGCACAGTTGCCCAATAAGCGAAAGGTCGCAGGCTCGAGTCCCGACGGGTTTTTGATCTGCCCGAACTTTTGATCTATGCCAACAGCCTCTTTCACCTTTAAGTTAGATCGATGCTAGACAAATACTAATCTTTCACTTACCGTAAATACTGTAATAGTACCCCACCTCCCTCGTACAGTCGCGTAGTCGCAAAAGTTTTTTAGTATTTCATTTTTTTCAAAGCGCCCGTACTTTCAAAAAAGGCGTCTTTGGTATCAAAAAAATAGCCCTGAATCTCAGCTATTTTTTGATACCTAAGCGCGCTTTGTAGCATAAACCAGTGTCGAGCAAAACTCGTCCAAAGCTAGCCTACGCAACACTACGCACCGTCATTATGGGGGTGGGGTACTATTACAGTTTTTACGGTAAGTATTCATTTAAGTGATAGTAAATCGAAAAGGAAATTTATGATGTGAATTAGAGTGTTTTCCTCTCAAGAAATAGTGTAAAATAAGAAAAATATTAGATTAAAATCAACTGAATATCTTGAATATCTTCTACAATTTGTAAAATCTTCATTTTGTTTCATTCGTTTCCTATTGTGCACTATTTCTTGAGATGAGCACACTCTAATTCACATCATAAATTTCCTTTCCGGTTACTATCACTTTTAATGTGAATAGAAATCAATCATTGCTAATATAAAGTGCAATAAGTACAGTAATTTTGGGTTTACTAAAGTAAAGCTGATTGAATTTGAGTAAACTGGCAGTGAACTACGGTAGTTTTCTAAAGTAGATGTCTTTTAAGAAAAGCATTAATCTCTTTTTTCCTACTGTAATAGTACCCCAGCCCCATAATGACGGTGCGGAGTGTTGCGTAGTCTAGCTTTGAATGAGTTTTTCTCGACACTGGTTTATGCTACAATGCGCGCTTTGGTATCAAAAAATAGCCCTGAATTTCAGCTATTTTTTGATACCAAAGACGCGTTTTTTGAAAGTATGTTACGCAAAGGTAAACTCTCTCTTTCTAGCACACTTACTGTAAATACTGTAATAGTACCCCACCCTCCTCGTAAAGTCGCGTAGTCGCAAAAAACACGCAGTCGTTTTTCAGTAATTTTTTTTCAAAAGCCATATTCGCATTTTTTCAAGTTTTTTCAAAGCGCCCGTACTTTCAAAAAATGCGTCTTTGGTATCAAAAAATAGCTGAAATTCAGGGCTATTTTTTGATACCAAAGCGCGCATTGTAGCATAAACCAGTGTCGAGAAAAACTCATTCAAAGCTAGACTACGCAACACTCCGCACCGTCATTATGGGGCTGGGGTACTATTACAGTATTTACGGTAATTAGTCCTAGTTCAAAACCTTCCATCAAATAAAAGCTGAAGTTAAATTCAAATTTTAAGTTCGACTACTTAATGATACAAATGGAAAAGTAATCTTGAAATGATTGTGAATATTGTGAATAACTTTCACCACCACATTCCCTAGCCAATCCCCTTTTCGAAAGACAGTAGTCCTGTACTTGTTTTCTTTCCTTTCAATCTGGGAAATCTAAATCGAAAAAAAAAAAGAGAGAAATAGACGGTTGATCTTTAAGTTAATTCTCCAAAAATCTTGGGAATTTCTCCTTTTTTCACTCTCGTTTCACTCTTACACTTTCCTCGCCCCGCCCCGCCCACTTAATAATCCTAGACTACGCACAAATGATCACCCTTTCTGAAAGAACTAACATTGAAAAAATACGATTCGTGCTTTGTACTTATGTACTTATGACTCTACCTCATAATCTTTCATTTTTAAATAAACTTTTACAAAAACACGCATTGCAATGAACTTTTGAAAGGATTAGTGCAAAGTTTTGTGTTCGAAATCACAAAAGCGATAGAAATAGAAAGCGATACTACAAGGAAATAGAAAATCGATATTATATGTAGTTGAGATGGCTAGAGACGGCGATCTCTGTAGGCGATTTCTTTCGAGAATGTATGGCTATACGGCTGAGTCATACATTTACTAATTAGTACGATTTGTACGCCTCGAGGTTTTCCCGATTTTGAAAGTGGAGACAAATTGGTTTTCTAATTTGTAGAACAGTTGAGGAAAGAACTGATGGAACTGATTGCTAGCAATGGTTGGAAATCGATGTATAACGAAACAGGAATAGCTCGGAACTCTGGCTTGGCTGGGCTTGGCTTGGCTTTAGGCTTGGCTTGGCATGGCTTGGCTTTAGGCCTGACTTGGCTTGGCTTCAGGCTTGGCTTGGCTTGCCTTGGCTTTAGGCTTGGCTTGACTTCTAATCCTTTCCTAGTCTCTACCATGACTTAGACTAAATAGTACTTGTTACTATTTTTGTTTACGCTTGTGTCTTCAAATTCTTCATTTATAAGTGTAAAACTATAGTCTGTATGCAATTTTTTTGACAAAATGCAAAGTGTGATCAAAAATAGGTGAAAAGTAGCGGTTAAATTATTGACTTAGAACTTAAGCCGTTGACCAGGATTATTATTTGTCCCAGACTCTAGCCAGTTTTACTTTACTTTATTTCTATAATCTATATAGAAAGGGATTTTCTATAATCTATATTTCTATAATCTATATATTTCTATAATCTATTTGTTGTGTTTCTTAAATCCTTACTTTATGGCAAGGATTAGTATTGAAATGGTTATGGTTAACGCTCAAATTTAACGAGTACTCACAGCTTGCACTTCTCAAATCTTACTGTACTTACTGTACAAATCGTACTAATTAGTAAATGTATGACTCAGCCGTATAGCCATACATTCTTTATTGCTTTATTTAATATTGTTAACAATAAATCTTTATTGTTAGCAATATTAAAGTGATTGCAGAAGTTGAATTTGAATTTGAATAATAATTTGTACATGGATTGACTAAGATCTTTAAGCGCAGACTACAATCATGTTGATCCCTTTTTTTTTGCTTTAAGCCCTAGAGTACACTTTTTCATCACACCAACTACCGTAATCCTTTTGAAAATTGGAAAATATCGAGAAAAATACTTGTACTTGTCGTCTAGGAAATGCAAGAAAACGTTTTTTTTCGTTTCCAAGTTACCGCACAAATCATTTCCAAATTCCAAACTATAATCAATGAAGGGAAAGGGGTACGATGCTTGTACTTTTCGGGGAATAAATGAGAACGATGACTGGTACAAAAAACGAATAAACGATTTAAATAAAAGAAACTAAAGTAATTGGAAAATTGAGTACAAGAAATCGAAGAACATTGAAGGAGGTGATTTTGGATTTTGGAGGGGAAAATTGAAAGAATTTGGAAATTTGGAAATTTGGAAAAACATCAGCATTGTTCTCTAAAATTCTTCGCAATCATCAGCATTCTGAAATTCTGAAAAACATCAGCATCAGATTTTTCTCTAAAATTCTTCACAATAGATCAACTTCATTTAGGCTTCATTTTGAATATTAGATTTTAAAGAAGGAAAAGAATTACATAGAATATCAAATAGAATTGAACTAAAAGATATGCTTTTTTTAAAAGCATTGCCTTTTAATATATATGTTGTGTCCGATTTAGATTTCCGTCCGATTTAGATTGAATCTAAATCGGACGTCCGATTTAGATTGAACTTATCGC